CTATCTATCTATCTATCTATCTATCTATCTATCTATCTATCTATCTATCTATCTATCTATCATCTATCTATCTATCTATCTATCTATTTATTTATCTATCTTGTACCCTTCTGAGAATTTAAGGTGGTAACCAAAATTATTAAACCAAAATTGAGGTATAAAATTTAAGGGTAGTTATAATGTATGCTTAAATTATCTTTAATTTGTTCCTGGTCATTTTAATACTAAAAAGAATAGCAGAATTATTTAATAGTTAAGAGTATGACATTATTATTAGTATACCATAGTTTTAAATAGTTGTAGTTTTTTTTAAACCCTATAGTTTTACAGTAAACAGTATTCAGATATATGAAGTGCACTAATACCAGACGTTTGTAAGCCTGATCAAAACTACAAATATCTGCAGAACAAAAAACAAAAGGGAGAGATAATTACAACTTGTCTTGCCTCTCTTTGACATTCTTATCTGCCTGTCTGTTTTTCTGCAGTCTGTTGTGAGCATATCACTGCCATTTGATCTTTCATTAGTAGATAATCTTATACAGCAATCAGAATAGATCTGTTTTTTCATTCTCCTTAATTAGTGCTGTTTTTCTAGTCTACTTCTATGATTCCATGGGGTGGAATGGCAGGCAGGTGAGAAACAGTGTGTCACAACAAAAATTCCACCCCTTGCACATGATGGCATGACTCAAGAATAAAAGGGCTGGACTTGCGTTGGGATGTCACAAAGTAGATTTCATCCTTTTGGACTTACTGTGGTTAGCTGTAGATGCCTCTGGAGGCCTCTTCTTTTTCCAGTGACAATATTTCTCTACAATAACTGTCTGTCATAGATAATTATGGATAAGAAACCAAGTTAGGTGTAATAGAAGAAATATCAGTTGAAAAAAATACAGTGTAAAGGTCCTAGGTTTTTGAGTTGTTTATGGAAAAAATATATAAACGATAAGGATTGCACAAAGCAATAAGGTGCAGCAATTGAAAATATACAGTGTAGAGAGAGTAGAGGCCAAATATTATGTCCAAATGTTTACAACTATGTTTAAATTAATATTTAGGAAGTGGTGGAACTGCCCAGACTACTGACTTGAGGATCAGAAGACAACACTCTTCAGACAGCGTCTCTAGCATTAACAGTGCTACTAGTCATTCCAGTGTGGGGAGCAATATAGAATGTGACTCAAAGAAAAAGAAGAGAAAAAACTGGGTATGTTTGAATAATGTCTTTCAGTGAACAAAGCATGTTTCCTTGAATATACCAAAGGATCTTACACAAGAAGCCAAATAGTAAAAGGTTATCCTAGTGGTAGTCAACCTGGTCCCTACCGCCCACTTGTGGGCGTTCCAGTTTTCATGGTGGGCGGTACGGGTTTTGTCCGATATTGAAGCACTTTCCTTTTTAAAATTTAATTGACTTCCCTACTTTATAAATCACCATTACTGTGGAACCGATGGGCGGTTAGAAAATTTTACCACTAACAGATTCAAAAGTGGGCGGTAGGGACCAGGTTGACTACCACTGCTTTAGATTATATGTCAGAGATTCATGTTTGTATCAGACTCAGTATCAGCACCCTGCACTGATTGCTAACTCTGCAACAGCATAACTAAAA